CCTCTTAATTTGTAATCATATTTTGTTGTTTCCTTGTTATATATGGGTGGTTTTAATTATGTGCCAGACATTGTTTTTGAAAATTGAGAAGACAGTTAGGACTAAGATGTTGTTATCTCCAGACAATGAGGGGTGTAATTGAATGATCTCAGTCCAGTCAGAGATTGAGATCATTCAAAGTGGGGCATCAGTTCCTTTAAGGGCTGGTCTATTTCTAGTATACACTTACTTTTAAGGTACCTATACCAACCAAAAAACTAAGGGATTTCATCAGGATGATATCTCCTTGGCATCCTTTGAACTCTGGTTTTCAAATCCCCAGTTCCACAAGTCTTTTGGAAATTTTGCTCAGCTTTTCAGCCTTTCAGCTGCCTCTTCTAGAACCACCACCAGATGATGCCCTTACCAACAAAGGGGTCCTAAATGTAGGACTGCCCTTTCCAAGTTTCTTTATTCTCCTAGATCTTGACCTTTTTTTGGTACTCCTTGTTAATTCTCAGATGCTTTCAAAACAATTTTGTTTTTTGTCCAGCTTTTCTAATTGTTTTTAAATTTACTAATTTGAAAGAGAGAGAGAGACATTGACTTGTTATTCTACTTGTTTATGTGTTCATTGATTGATTCTTGTATGTACCTTGACCCAGGATTGAACATGCAACCTTGGCATGTCAGGGCGATGCTCTAACCAACTGAGCCACCCAGCTAAGACCTCTAATTGTTTTTGATAGTTTGTCCAAATTATCTAGACTACCCTTAATAAGAACATCTGTGTATAAACCATTTCTTAGCTGATGAACCAGACACAGTCCCTGCCATCAGAGGCAGTGAGGGAGATAGCCCTGGAAACACACAAGTTCAAGTGGGATAGAGTAATGGGTCATTGAGAGTGTTGGTTAAGACCAGGGTCCCTGGAGTTAGGTCAGGGTTTAAAGCTGAGCTATGCCACCATGTGGCCTTGGTTAGGTGACCGAGGTGACGATTATGATAAAGAGGAGCGGCTGGGTCATGGAGGGGTCTGGATGTCAGGGTTTACAGTAGGCACTGGAAACCCAGGGAGCTTTCTTTCAGTTTTATTGAGCAATAATTTATCTATGGTGGTTATTTTTATTTACAAAAACAAGTGGCAATCTATAGTCTGCCAACACTGCTACATTAAATTTGAGCGATGAATAAAATCCCTTAGGGGCATATATTTTCCAGGACGTGTTCTAAAGAGATAGGAAGAAGTGCATATTGAAAGAATCTAAGTATTAACCTCTCCATTTCCTTTAAATAATAGTGATTACTATTTCACATTTCATAGCCCTTTAACTCCAGTGAGTTTTATTTCATTTACTTTTTAAAACTTTTTTGTTTATATTCCATATTATTTTGCATTAATTTCAGGTGTACAGCACAGTGGTTAGACAATCGTATACTTTACAAAGTGTGCCCCCTGATGTTTCCAGTACCCACCTGACCCCATACGCAGCTATTTCAATACTATTGACTGCATTTCCTGTGCCGCTTTGGCTCCATTTTAAAAAGGCCCTACTTAGGTCGACTTTCACAAATCTGAGGATGGCTTTTGGTCGTATTGCCATTTTGACAATTTCTCTGACCCATGAGCATGGGATACCCTTCCACTTATTTTTGTATTCTTTTTTTTTATTAATGTCTTGCAATTTTTAGAGTGGAGATCTTGTACTTCCTTAGTTATGTTTATTCCTAAGCATTTTATTGTTTTCGATACTGTTGCCAATAGGATCAATTTCTTTTTTTATTTTCAGAGAATTTGTTGTTAGCGTAAAGAAACAACACTGGTTTTTGTATGTTAATTTTGTATCCTGCAGCTTTACTGGATCCGCTTATTAGACCTAATTATTCTTTGGTTGAGTCTTTAGGATTTATTGATATAAAAATCATGCCATCTGCAAATAGAGACAATTTAACTTCTTTTTTTCCAGTTATGATGCATTTTATTTCCCTGATTGCTCTAGCTAGGACTTCTAGGACTATGTTAGGAGTGGTGAGAGGGAGAACTCTTGTTCTTGATCTTAGAGGAAGAACTCTTAACCTTTCACCACTGAGTGTGATGTTAAGTGAGGGCTTGTCATATGTGGCCTTTATTATGTTGAGGTATTTTCCTTTTATACATGACTTCTAAAGTGTTTTTTTTTAATCTTAAGTGGATGTTGAATTTTGTTGAATTTTTGGGGGTGTCTATTAGGATGATTATATGTTGTTTTCTTTCTTTTTAATCAATGTCTATCACACTGCTTGATTCACATATGGTGAACAATCCTTGCAGCCCAGGGAAAAATCCTACTTGATCATGGTGTATGATTTTTTTAATGTGCTGCTAAGTTTAGTTTGCTAGTATTTTACTGGGAGTTTTTGCATCTATATTTATGAGGGATTTTTGGCCTGTAATTTTTTTTTTAGTAGAATCTTTTTTTTTGGTTTTGGAATCAGGATAATGCTGGCCTTATAATATGGGTTTGGGAGTGTTTCCTCCTCTTTGATTTTTTTGGAAGAGTTTGAAAAAGATTGGTGTTTGTTCACATTTAAATATTGGTAGATTCACCAGTGGAGCCATCTGTTCCTGAGTTTTCCTTCATTGGGAGGTATTTAACTATTGATTTAATCTGCTTATTAGTAATTGGTCTACTTTGACTTTTCTATTTCTCCCTGATTCAGTCTTGGTGAATTGTGTGTTTCTAGGAATTTTTTTATTTCTTACAGATTGTTCAGTTTGTTGGTGTATTGTTGGAAATAGCAGCCTTTTGTGATCCTTTGAATTTCTGTGGTATCAGTTGTAAGTTTCATTTTTCATTTATATTTTGTTGTTGGTTTGGGTTCTTTTTCTGTTTTCCTTGGTTGTTCCTAAGGGTTTGTCAATTTTGTTCATCTTTTCAAATAATCAAACTCTTACTTTGGTTGATATTTTCTATTGTTTTTCTGTTTTCTATTACGTTTTTTTTTTAAGATTTATTTATTTATTTTTAGGGAGGGAAGGGAGGGAGAAAGAGAGAGAGAGAGAGACATCAATGTGTGATTGCTGTGGGCCGTGGCCTGCAACCCAGGCATGTACCCTGGCTGGGAATTGAACCTGTGATGCTTTGGTTTGCAGCCCATGCTCAATCCACTGAGCTACACCAGCCAGGAGTTTTCTATTATGTTTATTTCTGCTGTAGTCTATATTATTTCCTTTCTTCTGCCAATTTTGGGCTCACTTTGTTTTTTTTCTAATTGCTTAAGGTGTAGAGTTAGGTAGTTTATTTGTGATCTTTCTTGCTTCGTAACATAGGCATTTATTGCTATGAATTTCTCTATTAGAACTACTTTTGCTGTATCCCACAAGTTCTAATATGTTGTATTTCCATTTTTGTTTATATCAGTTAACTTTTTAAAAAAGATTTTATTTATTTATTTTTAGAGAGAAGGGAATGGAGGGAGAAAGAGAGGGGAAAAACACCAGTGTGTGAGAGAAACATCAATCAATTGCCTCTTGCATGCCCCCAACCAGATATGTGGCCTGCAACCCAAGCATGTGCCCTGAGCAGGAATTGAACCAGTGACCTTTCGGTTTGCAGGATAACGTCCAACTCACCAAGCTATACCAGTCAGGGCTGTATCAATAGACTTTTTAAATTTCCACTTTAATTTCTTCCTTGATCCATTGATTGTACAATAGAGTGTTGTTTAATTTCCAGGTACACATGAATTGTCTAGTTTTTCTTTTGTTATTGATTTATAGTTTCATGCCAGTGTGGTCAGAGAAGATACTTAGTACATTTCAATCTTTTTTAATTTGCTAAGACTTGTTTTGTAGCCTAACATTGAATCAGTTTATTCATCTCTACAATGAGGTTGAGGTTATTGATCCTGTATTGAACTTTTACTATGTTTTCCACTTGTATATCCTCAGTGAATTCTCAGAAACAGTCTCTGAAGCCAGTTCTGAAGCCTAGTAACACTCTTCAGTTATGGAATTAGTAAATGGCAGAGCCAGGATTTGAACCAGTGCTCCACATTACCATCCCATTTCCACTCTAAACTTCTGATCCATGGGTAGCAAAAATATCTGAGCAAGCATGTCTCTGTGGGGTTGTCTTCAGAAGTGGTTTATGTCAACAGATCCTTCTAGACATGGGACTGGGGAGTATGCTTTTTCACTCAGGAAAGCTCAGTGAGTAAATGATATTGGTTTTTGACAGGCTTTTGATTAGAGGGGAATATAAAGACTGGTCTGTAGAACATTATCAGAGCTTACATTTGAGGGCCAAGTAGAGTAGCAGCCTGCACGGAAGGGTGAGGTGACTCAGAAGATCCTGGTGCTGTAGACACTAAGGGAGTAAGGAGACCTTCTCGAAGGTCACGGTGCTCAACTGTGTTGAACACTGCTGTGAGTTCAGACAGAGTGAGAGCTGAAAAGCCCCATGAGGTTTACCAGTTAAAAGGTTGCTTCACTAGTGTCTGAAATCACGTCTTGTTTCTGTTTTTAAGTTTCCCAGGAGCTGTTCTTCAGTCTTGTCTCTAGATGGGGACTGCACCCTCTTTTGGCTCCCTGCGTACATTCTCTCTTCCACACAGCTCCCGTAAAGTCCCTCGTCACTGAACCTAACTACCTGCTTGTTAAATCACATAAGATGCATTTCTGCTATGGCTGAATATCTCAACAGTTTCCAAAGTTAACCACCTTCTGGAACTGGATGTTGAAATCAATCAATCAATAAATATGCAATTATGATGACTATTTCTACCTTTGGATATATTTCATCTGCATCTGAGAGCTGATGTGTTTTTCTTAAACTTGTTTTTTTTATTATGAAAAATTCCAGTCAGGCATTCTGGTGGCTGGAAGAATGAATTAATAGTAGTCTAATCACCCTGGAGACACAGATGCTTTTGTGAGTTGGCACTGAGGTAAGGCTGCACATCTCTGTGGGAATGACAAGTGAATGAGTCTGCTGCTCACTTAACCTGCTGTTCCTTTTTCTCTCTATTTTCCCTCCTAGGAAACAGATGGAAGACTGCTGTGACCCCGCCCATCTCTTTGCTATGACTAAAATGAATTCTCCCATGGGGAAGAGCATGTGGTATGATGGGGAGTTTTTATACTCATTCACCATTGACAATTCAACTTATTCTCTCTTCCCCCAGGTTAGTACAGAGCTTGTTGCCTTTCCGTATAGTTTCTTACATGTCTTGGATTTTATAGGAAAGATATAATTAAATTTGAGTAATCAGATCTACTTCTTTTCATCTTCCTTCTTCTTTTCTTAATTTTAAATGTTTTTCTTTATAGTTGTTTTTTTGTGTGTAAAGGAATCACATAATGTTTTGATGTAAGAGTAGAGTTAAGATGCTATAAAGTAATAGTTTTCCAACCCTTTCTGATTTCAGTCATATGAGACTGAAGGAAGCAAGCAGAGAAGGAAGCAAGGACAGGAATTGTGGAATTCCAGTATTTTGAGGTTGGCTGTGGAGTGATCTCAAAAATTTGCAGAACTGTGTTTTCTTCAGACGGATGTTCTCAGGGAATGGGGACTATATGGTCAGAAGTTTTGTTTCTCAGAGCTCTTGAACCTTCACGCTGTGGTTAGACTCCTCCTGATGTGAAGTGAATGAGGGGTGGGTATGGAAAGAAATAATTTGGCCACTTTTCAAGTTGTCTACAACAAGCTCTCCCTACTTATTGCTTTTCTTCTTGGTTTCTTGAACATTGAAAAAAATGTTTTACTAAATTATAAAAAAAATTAATTATATCCATATAGCAAGTGAGGAAAAAGGAAATCTTTCTTTTGGGGAGCCCACGTTGGAGAAGAGGTAGATCTTAGGTGAAATTGCCATTAGGAAGAAATGGAGAAATGAGTCTTGGCCTTCCCAAATCTGTCCACTCTTGGTTTGGCCAGATGGTTGTGCAGAAGGAGAATTCATAGCCAGAGTTGGAAAATGGGATGGAACCTTTTATGTGTCTGTATTAACAGCAAAGAGTCTTCAAAGGAGGGGCCCTATGAAGTTGAGGCACAGGCTCTCCTGGATCCAAAGTCCCACTCTGTGAAATAGCCCATGTTTTCCATTTTGTCCTCAGGTGTTTTATTCTGGTTTAATGTAAAATCATTAAAATGAGTGTACTTGTAAGTTATTTTTTAATTTTTATTTTTCCATAGGAAGTAAAAGGCTTAATCATTGCCAGTGTTCACGTGCTTATTCTTCTTCATTTGCCTTTAGGAGGCTTTCTAGTGTCAAAGGACATGATTAGGAATCAAAATCACTGGGTTGTACGCCTGAAACTAGTGTCCTTTTTAGGTCACTACAATTTAAAAAGAAACAAGAAAAATCAGTCATAAAAACGTGGGATTGAGTTTTGTCTCCATCTCTTACTAAGTGAATGCTTTGCTAAGTCACCCAACTCTCCTGAGACTTAGCTTTCTCATCTGTACAATGGGGAGAGCATCCGTCCCACCACCTCTCAGAGCTGGGGTCAGGATTTATGTAGATAATTCACGTGCATGTACTTTGTAAACTACAAAGCATTCTGTGTTAGGTATTAATGTTGTTTTGGTAGCATCTTCGGATGGGGAGATAAGGAATATAATTATATTAGTCGAGGTGTAAGGCAAGGAACAGAAGTCTTCCTAGGTATTTTTCACAGAAAGATATTTCATATTAGGAATTAGGCACTTAAAACTCATTAGAAGAATGGAGACGTGGGAGTCAGGAGGTGGCTCCTGGAATTACCTAGTGCAGGAACCTACCACAGTAACTGTGGTTTAGGGATTAGAAAACCCCAGCTGCTGTTGCCAAAACTACCTCCAAGAGAACCAGGGCCAGGAAGATGGGTTCCAACTCACCCTCTCCTTCCAAATCTCCTTCAAGTGCATCCAATAGGTATGATTAATTTGCATCTGGAACAAGAGTAGTTTAGCAGTCTGGGAGAGGCAGTTTTTAAATCAAGCTTCAGCAGTGAGCTAGAAAAAGGATGGGCTAGAGGATGAACAAGCCAATACACAGTAGCCTTTTTGTTCAAAACCTGATATCAACTTGCTATGAATTGAAGAAGAGATAAGGAAGCAATCACTTTAACAGCTGGTCAAATGGAAAAAAATGTAAAGAAATCCAAAATAGGCTTTGTATACATGAAGGCTTTTGGTCAGACAAACCAACTTCTAACTTTGTGCTGGAAAACAGATTTGAAGAAAAGAGAGACAGTTAAAGAAATACAAATTAGCTTCCCATCTTATGTGTCAGTTGCAGCAGGAGGCTAGCAGGAAATATTTCCTTTTTAAGTGCGTGCACAGAACAATGTGCTTCTTGTGCCATTTGAAAGATCAAGGAATCATTTACTGATGATAACAACTGCTTTTTTTCTTAGGAAGCAGAAGTTATTCCATCACCGTGTGTGCGCGTGCAGGCATCACACATGGCTGAACCAGTTCAATGAGTAGATTTTTAAAATAGCTGTGTACCTTTCTGCTGAGATTCTGAAATGACAAATTAATTTATAGAAATCCTGCCAAATCAGTTTGCATCACCAGGAAGGACTGAGTGTATCCCCATTCTCTCGCCACACTGTTACTTCTTAGTGAAATATTTCTAGTTTGAGACCAGGAAGCTAAGTTGCCAGTTAATTGATATGCTTCCTTCATATTTCTAATGGGAAGAAGTTGTACATATGCTGATTAGACAGAAAAGTGGGTGAGTGGGCTGGGCTAAATGTTGTTAGTTAAACAAAGTGTCCCTTTTTTCCCTGAGTTTCCCATCCAGGCACTAACCATGCCTGACCCTGCTTAGCTTCCGAGGTCAGACAAGATCGGGCGCATTCAGGGTTGTGTGGCCAAGACCCTTTCCCGGAGTTTCAGCAAAATCATGCCATATCATTCATGCTCTAACTCAGATGTATAATTTTATATTGCACCTTTAATGATATATTTTAATATATTTATTTTAATTATATAGTATTACATTTTCCTCAAAATGCTCAATATATATTAACCATCATTATTATTGTTTTTATTCCTTTGCCTACTTTTATCCACTGTATTGTCCTTGTTGCTGTTGTGGTGGTTGCCAACAGGCTGTCCTGGATGCTCTGTGTGCTGTGAGTTAGCAGGTCCTGGCAGCGTGGCAGGGTCCAGGAGGGCCCCATTGAGATGCTGGGCACGTTGAGATAACACACCGAATCTCCTTAATTACAGTTAGTAGCTCTTATTTGGGCCTCCCACGATACCCCATAGCTTTGTTATTAAATTTATTCAGTTCTGTCTCATGCGAAGTTATCTATGTAACAAATTATTACAGTTTTCTTAAAGTCCTTCTCTGCTGACCTCACAAAGCTTCTCTTGTGAGCTTTTGAGGAACAAGAACAATTTTTCAGTTTTGTGCCTAGTGCAGTGCTTCCGACTCAGATGCTCACTTCCAGCTGCTCGTGTTTGCCGAGGGCTCCCTTCCTGCGTCGCCCCTGGGCCGGACAGCTGCAGTGCCTTTGCCTGCACTATTGAGGCCAAGTAACACATACTGAGGCAACCATTTCCGAATGGCTATATAACTGTATTTTGGTGAAATATTTGTTAAATATTATTAGGCATAAAGGGCAGAATTTTAACCCTCACATAGGTTTTCTAGGATATTCTGTGTGTGTTTGGAGGGGCCAGTGTGATGGTCTTCCACTATGTGACTCTCCCCATCCCCTTGGTTGGGGTCCACTCCTTCCTGCTTTGCCGGGAACTGTCCCTTTTAACCCTGCAGGGTCCCATATCTGTAGATATTACTGAATGAATGCTGTTTTGGCCTAAAACACTTATGCTCAGAAAGAGCATAAATTTTCTTAGAACTGAGCAAGGGTGTGGCAGGAAGGTTAGAAACCACATTTGTGCTGATATAATTTGAAATATATTTCCTTTTGGTGTAATAAAAACAAGGTTGGCTCATCATTCTCTTACATTGTGCTGAGTAGTCATGTGGTATAAATCACAGGCTAGACTAGTCATTTTCCCCTTAGAATAGCCACCCAAGGCCATATGTAAAGAACCACAAAATGTCATTAATGCATCACAAATGGACACTCATTTCCAGCTCCTCTGGTCATCATAAGCTCCCTAACATGTTCCACTCGGCCTGAACCTACTGTTCTCTTGGCCCATAAAAATCCCAGCAGGAAATTTTGAAGTAGATTTGTCAAAGTGGCTTTGTTAGAATGAATCCTCTGAGCTCCTGCATATCCCTGAGTCTCACAGCAATTTCTCCCCCCACCCAACCTAAGGAAATTTGGACCATACTATATGATCTATAGTTTTTAGTAGCTGCCTTTTAATTTATTAATAATATTGTAATCATTTTCCTGGCCATGTATCTTTTTGAATAGAAGGAAACTAAGGGGACTAATGTTTGTTAAAGATTATTGACAAATAATCTTTGTTAAGCATGTATAAGGTTCATGTTGTCAGGCTAGTGTTTATGCTACTATGACACAGGGGCATAGCCAAACAGGTGCTTGTTTAGCTCAAGCAACAGCAAATTAGGAGGTGGGCAGTTCAGGGCTAGATGACAAATATACAGTGCCATCGAGCTCCCAGGCCCCCGTCTTCCTGCTCAAACATCCTGGTGGCAAAGAATCTCCAGTTTCGGCCCAGGATTCCAGTAGAAAGAGGGAGGAAACAGAAGGGAAATATGGACAGACTCCTATTCGTGTGTCATTGGTAGGGACTAAATCACATGGGCAGGGGCAGTTGCAAGAGAGGCTGGGACTTTGAGTATTTCAGCTCTAGGCAGATGCACTGCATATGTCGACCTGTACTACCTGCCTCAATTTCTTTACATGTTAATCACTCCATTCATACAATAACTCTGTGTGGTTTTCATTACTGTCTTCCATAGATGGATGACACTGAGACGGAAAAGGGTAATATAACGTATTGAAGATTCCAGAGCAAGAAGGTTAGAAGGGCTGAGATATGAAACCAGGACTATCTGATTTCAGAAGTTTTATTGTTATTATTTTTTCAGAGACATGTGTTCTAGTGGATCAGTTGTTTATTTTTATCACCCAGTCACCCTGCAACTATTTTAAGGTTTTTCACCTCTCTTATATAAATACTCTTAGAGTTGAAGAAAATTGTTTTGTAGCTATTTGAAAGGAAAAAAAATAAGATCCTGTACAA